TGAAGCATCCCCTCTGCCCTTCCCACACCCCCAGACCTCTCCACATTTTTCTCTTAAAAGAGTGCTGCCTCTCTCCAGGGGTGGGGATCATTCACAGAATAGCACTTTGCTCCTCAGAGCTTTTGACAATTTGGCAGTGAGCTGCAGAGGAGCAGGAGAAAGGGTGATACAGGGGTGCATCTGGAGGATGGCCCAGTGTGTTTCTGGCCTCGGGTCAACCAAGGGACACTGGGCCCTGGGCTGGAGCAGGCCATCAGGTGGTGTGGTGGGGTAGGCAGGTGTGTGCTATGAGGCTGTCATTCATACCCACTTCTGCTGTTATCTGCTGGCTGCCCGGGACTGTCTGACAGCCAATCTGGGCAAGGGATCCTTCTGGAGGGAAGGGAGAGTTGATGTCCCTTAATCTAACGAGCACCAGGACTCCCAAGGACAAGATTGACTGGGGTGGGTTAGAGTTGAAAGGCTAAACCTAAACAGTGACTGACCTCCCACGGTGGCAAAGCCCAAACCTTTCCTAATAGGAAGGGAAACAGGTGGGAGAAAGGAGATCTATGGACTCCAGGCAGGATGTCATGCAAACAGGCCAAAGGGAAGGAGGATTCTAGGACTCCTAAGAGTGAGGACGTACAGCAGAGTCTCCAGTAAGGCTCTGAAGAGTCCCAGCCACTGGAGAGGCAGATGGCTTTGGAGTTGTTCTCCGGAGGTGCCAATGGGTATCCAGCCTTCTAGGGGGATCAGAGAACTTAGCTCCTCCTGGCTAACTCCACACCAACTCCCCAGCCTGGGAACCCAGCCTTACTGAGTCATTCTGGCACTGAAGTGTGTTTACCATTAACTGAGCATATACTATGCACTAGATGTGGCACCAGGCACCTTACACCAAGCCTATTTCAAAGATGAAGAACTTTGTATGGCTGCAGAGTGAGGCACTGGCCTCAGGCCACACAGCCAACCAGCCACACAGAAGGCTTGGATCCTGAGTCAGTCTGATTATTAATCCATTTGCTTCTCTAAAAGACAGTCACCTTTGTCTTGGGTATAATGTTAACATCTGACTGTCTGTCACTTTAATGCTCTTCTTCTGCTACATGAGTCCTTACCTAAGTGCCAACATAAATTATAAATTCCCAGAGGTAGAAGTTGAATCCATATAGTTCATTTTATTCAACTTTTAGCAGAGTGCCAAGCACGACGGGGTGCTTTAAAAAATTGCATTTTATCCTTGAATCAACTTAGAGCTCCAGAAAGCCACAAGCTTGGACCACAAAAGCTTACCCAGCAAGCCTCCTTTTCCTTAATGGCCTCACACACTTGATTTTGACTGTTTGCAACTCCATGAGAGTAACTCCCTGAATGCTGCTGTCACAAGGATGTCACAGACTTGGCACTTTATCAGGAGGTAACATGAGACACTGTCATACAAAAGGAGCCCCTGATTTTCACGTTAAACTCTTGTCCTGGTTTCCTTGTAAGGTCTCACATGATCGTAAATCACTTATAGAATGCAATGCCTGGGCATTGTCTCTCTTGAAAAATAGGGACACATTTAAAGCAGAGAGTTTCTAGTTTCCTTCATTTTCTTTAGGAATTGGCTGCTGGCACAGTGAGGCCAGATCTGAGGTTGGCGTTGATGCCTGTTCACCCCTGGGTAGCATGTTTACTTCCATCCCCTTTGTAGTTCACCATTTTAGCTTCCAAGCCAGTTATCATTACCTATGTTTGCCAAATCTTTCACCGAAAGTCACCTTAATTCCTTCTTTGGAAAAAAGTGGGTTGTGAACACATACATCATGCTCACATCTTCTCTTTTTACCATGTGAATCTGTATCTTGTTATATGCTGCCTTGATGTCCAATCAGATCTTTGTACCAAGAGCTTGCATCTTTGCCTCTGCAGGTAGGAGGTAGCTCTTGGTGAGGTGGAGGAGGAAGAGGTGGGAGATGCCACTAACTCTTAGAGTTGATGGCTGACTTGAACTCTGCCTCACTATAAAAACCCACACATGGGTTTGGATCTGTTTGTGTGAAAGGATGAATGACTAAATTAACAAATGAGTGGTTTTTCTGAGCCAAGAGTCTTTCTCAAAGGAGAGGAGACAAAGGCTACTTGGCATAAGGCCCATCCTCAGGCCACAGAGGACACTCAAGGTCATCATGACAGCCCAGTGAGTCTAGGCTCATCACCCTGTCCTGGCCAGGTCAAAAGCATGGTGGGGGGTGGGGAAGGCTGGGGGGGAGGAGAGTGAGGGGGGAGGGAGGAAGGAGGAAGGTGCTGGCCTCTCCTCCTCCCTGCCTTGGAAGGGAAAGAGGGATCTAGTCCCTGGGGTGTAGTGGGGAGAGATGGTCTCTATACCTGTCTCTCATTTCACACTAATCTTCAAATTCTCACTTGCTCTCTCACTGTCTCCCTCCCTCATCTGTATCCTCTCCCTCCTGACAAGTCTCTGTACCTGCCTGCTGTCTCTGTGTCTCTGACTCTCCTGCCCTCTCTCCGCATTCCCCCAGAGGGACAGCTTCTCCCGGCTTCCAGGGGAAGCTGTAAGCATGATACAGCCTGAGCTCAGGGCCACCCCACCCCCACACTGACCTGGGTCCACACCTGGGCTTTCCTTCTAATCCTAGTGGCCTTGACAACAACACTTGGGCTAATTTTTCCCTGTAATTAAATTGAAGGGTCCCCCCCCCAGTCCATCCCTAATCTCAGATAATTAGCTCTCTGATTGCCCAGCGCTGGGCAGGAAACCTCCTGTTTGGAGAGGGATTTTGGACAGACAGATTAGGCAAACACTATGCAGGAAGCTGCACTGGGGGCTGGGGAATCAGGCCGCTCAGAATTTGTTGTTAAAAGAGATCTGGGGTGGGTAAAAGTGCCTGGTCCCCTCCAGGTGGCCTGGCTGCCTCTGACCCTGGTGGGTTCTCTGGCAGACAGGCAGCTTGTCTTGGCTCTCAGCTGGCTGTGGGTATTCCCGGAGAGCACGCTCCTTCCCTGTCGCAGAGCATGTGCTTCCCTGCCTGGGCCAGGGGTGTAGACACCTTTCTAATGCTCATCCTGCATGCCAGTTGGTGATGTCCAAAGTCAGCGAAATGAATACAAATATGATGGGTGACAGTAAAACTGCATGACTTCTTCCAAACCCAAGAGCAGCAGTGCTTCTAGGAGAATGGAAAGTCCCTATTCATGTCCCATGGGTGCTGGGGAGGACCCTTTAGAGCTGGGTGCAATTCTCCCAGCCATGGCTGTCACATGTCAGTGTCACAGGCATGGCATTATCATCCACTGTGCTCTTGTGTGCTCTGGGGATGACATTTGTATTATTTCTGCCACCTAAGTTTCCATGGAGAGATAGAAGTCTTAGAACTCTGATGGCCATGGGCTGGTGGGCTCTTCTGCACAGGTCTGAAGGCCTGTTGCTATCCCAGTGGTCTCCCGAAATGCTTGCTGCTATGGGGTGGGGCTGGCATTCCCAGCAGCCCTCAATGGCTGAGCATGGCCAGAATTCTCATGCTGTTCTTTCTTCCTCCTGCAATATTTGGAGCTGTGGCAATAGCTCTCTGTGGTTCTCACAAGAAGGGGCAGGCACTAAAGTTGGGTGCTCTTGTGAAAGGGACTTGCATGCTGGGAGAGAGACCTGTGGGCCAGGACCTAGGGGATCTGCCCTGCCTGCTGCTGGAGGCGCCTGGCCCGGCTTCCTGGCTGCGGCTCCTCCAATGAGCTCAGTGCACAGGGAAGCAGCCTGGCCCTGGATGTGTTCCAGATGGGCTATCAGGTTTGCCCACACTCGACTTCGAGGCTCCTCTGGTCTCTGCGGCTCCCTCAGCTCTGATTCAGCTGCCCTAAAGGTCCACTGTGGAATGCACATGAAACCCAACCTGCTCCCACCGGCTCCCCCGCCATCAGCCTGTCCCTTCCTCCACTACCAGGGACATCACATTGCTTCCCTTCACAAACACGACCCTCACCTTGACACAAGGTTGGGACTGGGAATCTGGCCGGCAGCTGGGCCTCTGGTTAAATGCTCTGACCCATTTCCCTCTGGGAAGGAGTGTAAAATTCTGGGCTCAAATTCTGGATATCTGAGAACAAGGTGTCTGCATGGGGAACCTGGGGTGCAGCAGAGACTCCTCATGTTCCCCTGGCTGCTGGATCTGTCAGCTGGCAGTGACCCAGGCATGGAAGAAAAAGGAGGAGCACAAAATGAGGGGGGCCAGGCAGCAGATACATGACAGCATCTTGCTGTCCTGAGGCTCCCACCTCATTTAACTCAGCATGCTGGAGGAAAAACCAGTGCTGATTTGGCTTCAGTCTCCTGTATCTTGCCACACACATTAGTGAGGGCCTACTATGCACCAGGCAGGAGGCTTTTGCTTTGGAGGTTCAGAAACAAATGCCACATGGACTATGCCCCAGAAGCCAGGGCTATTTCCTATGCCACATAATTAATAGATTAATTATTCTCAGGGAGGGCCCAGTGGGCCTTGTAGTATAAAAGACTTTTACATAACCTCACTCAATCCCCACGGTTTAAACACAGTCACATTCATTACTGCTTCGGAGTGAAAAGAAGAAATTATTGCAAGTGGTGGTGGTGGTGGGAGGGGGTCCTATCAGGATTTTCTGTCCTATGTAACGTGCCTCAATTTCCCCTTTGTTACCAGGATTTGTTTTTGGAGTTTCTAGAATCTTCCATCTCGGCCTCCTCTATCCATCCTGAGCTGAGCTGAGCTGTTGCTCCAGGTCTTTCTCAGGAGTGCACTGCTTGGGCCTTTTGTTGAGGAAGGGCAGGCTGGAGGTGATGCCGCCCCTTTAGGGTTGATTAGTGGGGCTGAAATTTGCATTTTGCTTTGGAAAACCAGTTTGGGTTCTCTGGTGGGGAGCAGCAGGGCTCCAGCTTCAGTGGAGAACGCCCCCAAGGCCAGGTGTTTGAATTAACCACAGAAGCCTTCCTCCCCTCTCCTCACCTTCCTGCAGCCCCTGGCTCACCTCTCCCCTCTCACCAACAGGCTGGGGCTGTGCAGAGGGCTCTCTGAACACTGAACATGCCCGCAGAAGAAAAGGCTTTTTTCTTGGCTTCTTCAAAGAAGATGCGCAGCTCCCTCCAGCCTCTGGAGAATCAGCGAGGGAACAGTCTGTCTCGAAATGCCATTAAAACATCTCTCAAATTAAAACCATTCCTGGAATGTGCAACCTCGCAGGGGAGTGCTGCTGTCTGACTACCTGAGGGCGCCTACCGGGTCGGAGCCTCCACCACCCCGACTTGGGTTCCCAGTGTCCTCCCTTGACAACATCCAAGTGCCCTTGGGCGTGACATTTAGTCATTCAGGGCCTCAGTTTTACCACCCCATTAATATAACATAGAATTATCCCTCTCCTCCTTCCTTAATTTCAACACACTACAGAAAGCAGCAGTCTTGTGCCCTGAGATAACGGTCTGGGTGCTCTCTCCAGCCTCTCCCCATCCTCTTTCCCTGTCCTCTCTCTCCACAGTCACGGTGCTATTTTAAGTGGAGGCTCCCAGCCAAAATTGGTACTTTATTAATTACGTGTCAACTAGCCTGTGTAACACTGAATGCCCTTTCCAGATTGTATCAAATGCATAGCAGAAGGAGGAGTCCGGCGGTGTCCGTGTGCCTGGCACAGGGTATACTGAGAGCAGGTTCTCTCCTCCGAGTCCTGGAATTGCTGTTCAGGCCAGGCCTAGATCCACATGCAAGCCCCAATTTCAACAATGCCACCCTCCTGGGAGGCAGGGAAACGGCATCCTTGGAAGTGCAGAGGGCCTGGGTTAGCTGAGCTCTGCTAACAGACAGGGTGCTTTGGACACCTGGGTCCATAATACGCAGAGGAAGGCTGGAGATAACACTGACCATCTGCTCTCTCCAAAGAGAAGATGGAAATAGCACTGGAATCAGAGCTGGAAAGATGGGAGGGAGTCCTGGGTATGACACTGCTGACTGCCAGGTTTCTGAGACAGTTTCTTGCTGTGTGATTTGGGCAAGACCTTTGTCTCCTCTGAGTCTCAGTATACCTATCTGTAAAATTAGCATTTATTCAAGAAGAGCTTTCAAGACCTTTCTAGTTTTAGCTTCTTTCTGGGAGGAAATGCTAGGGAGGAGCAGAATCTCTTGGAGGACAGAGAAAATCTGTAACTTTCTGCCCCTCAACAGATCATGGGAAGACCAGTAAGAGGTGAACAGACAGCAAGCAGGCCCTGCTCTGTGAGCTGTAGCTGGATGAAAACATCCATGCTGACAGGCATAGGACACAGGTTCTGCCATCACCACTATGTTATTCGTGGCGAAAGCAAGACCCAGAGAGGTTAAGTGGCATCCAAAGTCACTGGATGGGTGGGGATCTGGCGAAGCTGCTTCAAAGTGTGTGAGCATCGTTATCCACACACTGCAGTGGGGGAGGCATGAACAGTGCTAGACACAACGCCAGTTCAGCTCAGGGCTGGAACTGGTGGAAAGATACATGGTTCTCGAGGCATCAACTGAGGAGGGCAGGTTAGGGGGGCTTCACAGAGGAGGTGGGATGTGGGTGAGGTGAGAAGGCAAGGAGGAATGGGAGGCCAGCCTCCTGGGTGTGGAGATGGGAATTTAGGCAGAGGGGGACCAGAGAAGCTGGGAGCCAGCGTGTGAGTACGGCAGGGGTGGGCGAGAAGGGGACACAGAGATGAAGCCTTTATGGTAGAGGGAGGCCAGAGCCCTGCTTGAAAGTTTGAGCCAGAGCTAACAGTTATGAGGGCAACTTTTTTGTTCTTTACTAAATGTGGAAGCTAGTGGGATGTGGGGATATGTGTCCATAATTCCAGTATTCTAAAAGGCTGAGGCAGGAGGACAGGGAGCTTAAGCCTAGTTTAGGTAACTTCGCAACTTAGTGAGACCGTCTCTCAAAAGGAAAAATACAAGGGAAAAAACCTGCCGAGCAACACACAATGAAGAGCCTGAGTTGAATCCCTGTTACCAAAAAGAATAAGAAAGGAGAAAAAAGCCAGAGAAAGACAGAGACAGGGACAGAGATATTAGCTTGGAGGAGACAGAGCACAAGGAACCACAAAGTCAGGGACATGTCATAAATGTCTCCACTTGGGTGGGAGTGGTGCCTGCAGACAGACAGATGGACAAATAGACAGGCAGATGAAGGGAATCCCACAGTCAGCAGTCAGTAGAGCCAGAGTCAGTGGAGAGGTCATGAGCAGCTCCCCATTCCCACCAAAGCTGATGAGAGAGTGGATGGTGGTGTCCGCAGGCCCTGGGGTGGGGCTCTGGACCATTTACATGAGGTGTGATATAGTTAGCTCAGATGTTACATCCCCTCACACACAATGACGCCTTTTCTGACTCTCCTTGTCCCCTAACAGCACTGGTTCCCTAGTTACAGGTTCCTGCTCTGCTTACATCTCTGACTCTGGCCACCACGATACTAAGTGGTGACTTGCTAGGATCCCTTCAGGCCACTGTGCGCGAGCTAAGCCCAAGGCCCAGGGCCTGCAGGCGCCTGCTCAGGAGAGGGTCAGGAGGATAGCTGGCGTGCTGCTTTGCACCTGGACCAATGCCCTTGCCTCACCTTGGCTGTCACCATGGCTTGTTTGCCTCTGGAGTCCTGGGCCAGCACAGGGAGGCAGCTGAATCCACATGCTCACCTGTCCACATTCACTGTGCTTATGGGGCCTGACACTTCTGCACAGTACTGCCGGGTGGCAATAATGAACAGTTTAGCATGGAAATTGGCCTTAGCAAGAGGTGGCTGGTGTGTGCATGTACGATTAGCGAGCACTTGGCCAGAGGACACCTTCAGCCCTACAGATCTTTGACCTCCCTGCCACAGCCAGGCAACCCTGCTTGCCCACCCCATCCCTTTTGTTTCCCCCAACTTTTCTGTTCTGTCCCCACCCACATCCAACTTAGAGGGGCGGGAGGAAGGAAATGTGGTACCTCCCTCTGCCCAGAATCTCTCTTGGACAGGGAAAATTCCTGATCTCCTGTCCTGATCCCAAAGGTAAGAGCCCAGTAGGGACTTCTCCTTTATAGTGGGCTCTCCAAGGAGGGCCAGCCTGAGACATTCTTCCTTAATGCCCGTGGAATTTGAATGAATAAGGGAAGAAAGATATTTAGAAGTTGGGAAAATGTAATTCCTTAAAAACCAGGACAGGGATCATCTTTGGGAACTTACAGAAAGGGGGATATGAAGGCCCTCTCAGGCTTGGGGAGCGGGGCTCTGGCTCTCGTCCTGCAGGCCTCCAGTAGCTGGGCATCGGTGGGCAGCAGCTGCCGGGGTGGAGGAAGGAGCTCCTAAGGATGTACTTAGCAGGCGCCGCCTGACTCTAGCGGCACTAATGGGTTCTGTTATCTCGTGGGGACCCTTGTCTGCAGATCGGCAAAGCGGAAGGAGGTGGTAGGTTAAAAATACTCTGTTAGCAATGAGGCTTAGGTGGGGGCTGTGCCGTGGGAATTGCAGCAATGAGAGCCCCCTGGGGCAGGAACCAAAGCTTAGCTTCTCTTTTGCCTCCAATTTTAATTTGCCTTGATGACTGACAAAGGACTGTGAGGATGGGGCACTAATTGCTTCTTTTCTGAGGTCCAGCGAGCCAAATGTCAGGTGGCTTGGCCTTTGCTCCTGTAGACCTGACACTGGGGCATCGTCTATGTGCTAGCAGGCATCAGGTGTTGGGGGGTGGGTGTATTGCCTAAACTCTGATTCATTTTATAGCTTGTAGTCCCTTCCCGAGAAAAGGGGATCTCATCCCCGATGTGAGGAAACACTAGTACCCTACATTTAGAGGATGCTTTGATTGCTTCTGAAGTGTTTCCTCATCTGACAGCTCACAGCAGCCTCACCATGTGCCTGGGGGCCAAGAACTATTACCCAAGTTTTGCACTGGGGGGAACAAGGTTCTGAGAGTTTATGAGACTTGCCCTAGGTGACATGTCTTGGAAGTGGCAGTGTGGGTCTCTATGAGGCTTCTCTGACTTCTGGTCCACAGCTTACTCTGTACACTTTTCCTCCCAACTCTTTCACTCCCCTTAATCATAATGTGGGCAAACTCTTGGGGCTCTCCCCACTGGCCTAGGGCAATCCTCAGGCAGCTTTATCTGTCTTGAAGCCCACACAGGTCCAGTGGCCTCTATTTGGCTCAAGGCCACCCCAGGGCTGCTTGGAGCCCTTTGCCTACATTCCTGCAGGACCAGGAGGGAAGCTCACAGCTGTGATGTCCCTGCCTGAGGTCAGAGGGCAGAGCTCGGGGCTCAGAGGAGCCTAGAGCCCCAGGTATGAGTCCATCTCTTCCACTTGGCCAGGGGATCTGGGTCTCACTGTGCACCAAAGAGAACCATGTTTTAAAACTCCCACTGGCAAATCAGTTGGGGGCTTATTTTACTCTTTCTTTTTGCCCAGAAAGATACTGCAGAGGCTGACTTCCTGATGCATCCCAGGGCCATGGCTTCTGCGTAAACTGAGGGCTGCTTCCGGGAGTGTAAGGAAAAATGATCTAACAGCCCCAGGAATGAGGATGCCGCAAAGGGCCTCTCTTTCCCACCACTCCCCTCTAGAGAAGATGGCAAGGACACACATTATGCTCTTCACCTTGAACATGTGGTGTAGAAAGAAATTGGCCTCAAAGACTGACAGTTTGATTGGCAGTGACAGAATCTCCAAGGGTTGGAATCCCCACAGAAACGCCAGCAGTGCTCACCGAGCCCCATTCCTGGTCTCGTGTTTGCTTGCACCCCTTTTCTTTGGGATATCTCTGGCTTAGCTAGCTGCTTTGAGGCTAAAGGAGGTGGCGGTTGGACGTGTGGGGGCTGCAGAAGGTCTGGTGAGGATGGGGCACACCTGTTACTCCCAGCACTACTTAGATGCCTGCAGAGGCTGCTGCCAGACACAGAAAGCGGATGGGGGTCTGTTCTTGCTCCCCAAAGCTTACACTGAGGGGAAGCAAGGCAGATACTGACGAGGCTTAAGGACAAAGGAACCCGGAAGGAGCTAGAAATGCCTCTATCGGTTCAAAAGAATGAAAAAAAAAGTTCACAGATATGAGAGAAGGGAAGGAAAAGGGACACAAGTACAGAGTGATACAACAATTAGTGGGCATCAAACACAGAATGAGCACTTTTGGATTGCCATGAGAGCCAACCAGAGGCAGGAGGCGGGGCTGAGCCAGGAGGGCGGC